GGAAGTATGGAGCGGAGATCGACAGGCGGATTGGTGCTGCATCTGATGATGATGATGATGATGATGATGATGATGCATTAGTTTTATATAGCGCTTTTCGAGACCCTCAAAGACGCTTTACAATTTTTCATGCATCATTCATTCACACTCACATTCACACACTGATGGCAGTAAGCTACATTGTAGCCACAGCTGCCCTGGGGCAGACTGACAGAGGCAGGGCTGCCATGCTGCGCCACCGGCCCCTCTGACCACCATCAGTAGGCAAGGTGGGTGAAGTGTCTTGCCCAAGGACACAATGGGATGTAGGCATGGCAGGGAGTCGAACCTGTGACTTGCGGGTCCCAAAGCCGGCTGCTCTACCACTACACCACAGCCACCTTGCAGTGATGCGGGCACTGTACCAGTCTGTCGTGGAGAGGCGGGAGTTGAGCCAGAATGCAAAGCTCTCAGTTTACCRGCCATTCTATGTTCCTACCCTCATCTATGGTCAAAAACTTTGGGCAGTGACCGAAAGAACGAGATTGCAGATACAAGCGGCCGAAAAGAGTTTCCTTCGCAGGGTGTCCGGGCTCTCCCTTAAAGATAGGGTGAGAAGCTCAGTCATCTGGGAGGGACTCAGAGTAGAGCCGCTGCTCCTCCACGTCAAGAGGAGCCAGTTGAGGTGGCCAGGGCATCTGGTTAGGATGCCTCCTGGACACCTCCCTGGTGAGGTGTTAGGGCACGTCCCACTGGGAGGAGGCCCAGAGGAAGACCCAGGACACGCTGGAGGGACTATGTTTCTCAGTAGGCCTGGGAGYGCCTTGGGATTCCCCCAGACAAGCTGGCCCAAGTGGCTGAGGAGAGGGAAGTCTGGGTCTCTCTGCTTAGGCTGCTGCCTCCACGACCCGATCCCAGAAATGTGGCAGAAAACGGACAGATGGACAGTCAGACCATGGGAGAAAACCAAGTCTAATGTGTGACCATGCTTATGAGTGGAGCCAGACACACATTGCTTCAAACTAAAAACCCAAACCAGTGGTTAATCCGTATGTTGCGGGTGTTTCGGAGAAACTGAGACGTTTATTTTCTAAACATGATGTCCCAGTAGCTTTCAAACCCCAAAACACATTACGG